ATATCCATGATCACAAAAGAAAACAAGTCAAGGTGCTTGGTAACTCCTCAAAAGATCAAGGCTAAAGATAAGGAGAAGAACCAAAAACCCTAATGTGATTTTGTTGTGATTGAAACAATATGGTATGATGCAGAAATCTTAGGGGCAAAAATTGGGGTACAACAATATGCTTTTACACAAGCTGATAAGTAAATAGAATTTCAACAAAACTAGACTAGAGAAGTGAAAATGTATGAACATTCTTTGGAGAATGTGAATTAGTAGCCTTCTCTCATATTCTTCAAGTCCTTTTATATCTAATAAAATAATATAACCAGTGAAGGGTATTTCTGGAACTTCTAGAAAGTTGGCAGCTTGAATAATTACGTGGGAGACAACATCGCACGCAACGTTCATCCTTCATGGTAGTGTAATGGAATGATTTGTTTGTACTATGTACTTTTTGTACCATGAAATCTTATCCTCTTTTTCTTGTGAGTATGAGGCTTCTAAACATGCGTTAGAAGAATGAGAATGACATTTGGGTCTTCATAACTTCAAGTTTTCAGAGTATTTAGATTTACGTCTTCTGAATCTTCAGCACTTGGTCTTTAGAACCCTTTGTAGAACCTTGGGTAACCAGAACTTCAAGTCTTTAGAATATTCATAACTTCGTCTATCAGAATCTTTAGCACTTGGTTTTGATACCCCTTTGTCTTCAGAAACATAAGTCTTCAGCATTTGAACTTTAGTTAGAACTTCTATCTTCATATCTTTAGAACTTGGTTTCTTGGAAAAGTATCAGAGTCACAACTTCAGTGTCTTCTGAAGCTTTTTCTACTGTTCATCATAACTTGTGCAACTAGAATATAACTTATTCTCTTCTAATGTCTTGGCAGCTCCTTTCATGAGAAGCAGGACCTGTTTGTTAAATACTCAAAATAACAAACATTAGAGTACCAAAATTATTCATGCAAACATAATCTTTGTTATCATCAAAACTCAAAGATAGAATTGCAGAACCAAATCTTGTTCTAACATTATGCGTATGGAAAATTCGGGAGAAATTTGGAGGTAAAAATTCCTCTGGTCGAACGCGTATGGTACGCGTATGGGGTCTGAACACCAGAGTAGAACATGTATGATACATGTATGGATGGGCGAAGAAAGGAGCCATATGATAAGTGCAAATTGTAGTTATTTTTATATATACTTTTTGTTGCACTTATCGACTCTTTATTGTTAATATCAGCTGAATAATCCAACTTTATGTATAAATACATTTAGTTTGTGTATAGTGCATTTTTGTGTACATAGTGTAACGTTTGATAGTTTTATATTAATTTTGTAGGTATTTGAGCATTATTGGAGCAAGAGGAATAAAATCTCCAAGATGCATTAATGGATCAATAAAAGAATAAGGCCAAGAAGAGAGAGCCATTAGATTTATGCAGAAGGAGCATCAAAAGTTGATGTTCTGGTGTGCCTCGCTAGGCGAAGCATGGGTGAGGAGCCTTTGCGTCTGCCTCGTAGGGCGATGAAGGGGCGAGAGGACTGGATCATTTTTCCAGTAGCTACTGACTTGGGCTCGCCAGCAGCTCGTTAGGAGATAAATAAGGATGTCGACGGGAAAAATGTCTCTTTGCTGGTGAGGGTAGATATTTTTGGCCAGAAGTGTACGTGGTGCAACCTAGGCCTTTTGTTTAGAAACCATCGCTGGGTGACGCTTTTATGTCGCCAGGCGACGCGTGTGGAGCAGTTTTTTGTATATATTTCATTTGTCAAGGTTATGGTTTTGGGGATAGTTTTTGCTCCCAACTCCATAAACCCTCATTTTTCTCTAGGTTCAGCTTAGATAACAACTATGGAGCTTGCATAGAGATGATCTAGGGTGGATTGCTTTTCGATCGATGCTGACAAATCGGGAGATTTGTGGTTCATTTCTATTTTTCTTTTTGCATTCTCTTTTAGTTGGGTTTGTATATGTATTTACTTGGAACTTATGTATATTTATCGCCCATGGAGTTATATTTAATTTTATTTACAAATATTTGTGGATTATTATCCTTGATTTTTGTTTTGTGCTAGGGATTTGGGTTGTTATAGACATATACTGGTTGAATTCTTATCTAGGATGATAGTTTGTTAGATTATGGATTCTAGAGAAAGATTTATAGTTGAAATTCACTTGGGTGTCTATAATTAATGTCTATGTGTTGGTTGTGTTGATTGAGAAATTGTTAACGCGAGTAACACAGTTGACTTCTGGATTGTTGAGGTTGGTTGAGAGATCGCATCTGAGATGATATAGTGGGTGTTGTGTTTGACACGTGATGACATTGACGAGTATCGTAGGTTGAGTATAATTGGTCGATATGTTTAAGTCTGTGAGGAGTAGATTATATGCATGCTTGATAAGTTTCTCCTATGAGAATGAATTTATTTTTTTGTTAATAACTTTTTCCTTTCATACCTTTTATCATAATTCAACCCCCTAAACTCATTAACGAATGATTTATCGAACGACGAATCGATAACCAATCTCTGTGGACACGATATGATATAATCTATATCACCCGGTAAAATAATACTTTACTTTTTTCTTTCCGCTATGTCGCTGCAACACCATACGCGTATGGGACAAGGTCATACACGTATGAGCAAGCTGATGTGTAGAAAATTCAATTTTCACGATTTCTTTCCCATTTTCGTGCGCAATGCAGTTTCTCTTGATTCTTAATGACTAGTATAACTTAGGTAAATATAGGGAGATTAGTAGTAATGGAAAATAGGATTAAACCATGAGACTTTGTATGAATTGCTTATTTATATTCATGGTGATAATGATGTGGTGGCCTTATTGGCAATGTAGAAGACTTATGCCTTGTTGTCACATGGTTGTGTTGTTGCATGTTGATAATGCATATATTTCATTGGTGAGGGATCATGCTTTGGTGTTGGCCTATGGCGTTATGTTGAGAGTTTATGCGTTGTTGTTGCCTAATTGGCACTATGTTAGGGGCTTATGCCCTGATGGTACCACATGTATTGAGTTGATGTCGCGCTCATTGCATTGCATTATTATTAAATTGATGTTGTACTATGTGAATGATGGATTATGTTGCGAAGTATCGTATGATATGTGAATTGCTACTCCTTAGCATGTGATATTAATCATTTATTTATTTAATGTAATTCTCACTCCCTTTGTGTTGTTGTGTCTATGCTCCTCGGGGAGTACAGATAATCAGGTACCCGAGTACTGCTTAGAGAGAGTGTTATATGATCGGGTCTTAGGAGTCGTTCTGATACGTAACACATTTTGGAAATTTTTCTATGTTTTGCATTGTTTCATTTATGACGTATCTTATTGTTATACTACTGGACCAAATGCAGTGGAGTTTTATTATTGTTGAGACTATAATGTCATGGGAGTGAACAAATTTGATTATCCCGTTGTCGAATCGATTATTTTAAATAAATGAAGTAATAAAGTGACTTGAAACTTTATGAATTTTAAAATATGTGATATTCTATTTGTGTATTGTATGTATTCCGCAAATTATATTATAATTATTATTATGAGAAAGTGAGGTATTACACTCTTAGTTTTCAATTTATTGTTAAATGAATTTTATTTCTTTATCATTTAAATTATCAAGTAATAAAGGGAATATGTAAAGAAATATTTTATACTACTTATTCATTATCTTTTAATAAAATAGAAACAAATATCCTATAAGATATATACCAAATCCAGAAAAAGTAAAAGTTGAAATATAAACAATAAACAATTTTCAAAACGAATTTTCATTCAATTAAATAATAATATAATTAAAAAAAAATATAACAAAACAAACAGGTTATAATATTTTATACTCTTCTGTAATATTTGTTATTGATTATAAAAACTATTGAATAATTGATATATTTAATTAAGTTAATATAAGATTTAAAAAAATATTTAGATATAATTAACAAAATAGAACGTATTAATGATTATTTAATTTCCATAATTATATATATATTAAATAAATTTTCAAAATTACTCTTATATCATTTAAGTTTGTATTAATAAAATATTTAATACAATAGTGCATTTTTTATTAGCTTTAGTGCAATATTTTTTATTAGCTTTAGTGCAATGTATAGAAATATAAAAAATAGAAGTTTGTATCAAGATATATAACAATGTATTTAAGTCTTTTTATTAATATTTTTTAAAATTTACGTGATTTTTAATATTTCTTCATAAAAATATGATTATTTATAAATAAAATATTTACTCTCTATTTTGTATTCACTTAAAATACACTATAAAATTGATAATTTATTAATAGAGTGCAAAATCATATTAAAAAACAATATAAAAAAGAAAAATAAATTCAATTCATGAGTAACGATTAAACCAAAAATATATATAAAAAGTTAACAATAAAATTAACAAAAAAATTCTCAAATTTTAAATATTTTTGAACAAATTTCATTTCATACAATTTAGTTTTTTATTCTCAACTACATTTTTATGAGCTCATTATTCATTTTTATTTTTATTTTTTATACACATTTTGAGCAGTATTTTGCATTCTATTTAAAAATCAAACAATTTCATTATTCAATTTAAATAAATATAATATGATTTCATTTCAAGAAAATAAAAAAAATATATTAAAAAAAAAAACAATTCTGTTATTAAGAATTGTGATTTTCTTATAAGAAATCGTGTTTTTTCTCTAAGAAAATGAAGAATTTCTTCAATTGTTTGAAAAAATGTGAAATCAATTTAATTTTACGAAAAAAAGAAATTATAATTTGATAAAATGAAAACTATTTATTACCAAAAATAGGATGAGACTATTTTTAGTAAGAATCATGAGTCATTAAGTGATAATGTTTAACCATAAAATTAAAATAATATCAATGGTTATAAATGAGTATAACTATGAGTATAATTTATTGATGTAATTTGATCCTCTTTATATAGTTTGAAAAAGAATTGATTCAAACTAGTCATTATAACAATGGGATTTTATTGTTATTTTGTAGTTTTATTTCTTTGGTTTTCTAGGGTATCTCTGATTGAGTCTGAAAAGTCTGGGTTTAGTGTGGAACTGATGGATCCCTATTCTTCAAGATCCATATTTTACAATAATGGAGAAACTCAACTCCAACGAATGTCAAATATCGTAAACCATTCCATAAACCGCGTCCATCATCTAAACCGTAAGTTTTCTTTTTCCGAAAATAAAGGAACTGAAACCACTCTATCACCATATCTGGGTTCAGGTTATTACATAACTTATTCAATTGGTACTCCACCATTTCAACTTTATGGTGTTATTGATACTGGCAGTGACAATATTTGGTTTCAATGTAGTCCGTGTAAGCCATGTACCAACCAATCATTGCCAATTTTTGATCCTTCAAAATCTTCATCCTACGAAAACATTCCTTGCTCTTCTACATTATGTAAATCTGATGTAAGTAACCATTGCTCTTCCGGTGAAACAAAGAAATGTGAATATAGTTATTTATATGGTGATAAGACTTATTCGAAAGGAGATATTAGTATTGAGACTCTTACTTTAAACCCTAATAGTACCTCTCCTATATCACTTAGGAATGTAGTGATAGGTTGTGGGTATCAAAATCAAGGGACACTTGAATATGTCTCTGGAATTATTGGACTTGGATCAAAACCTTTTTCTCTTATAACCCAATTGGGTTCTTTAGCTGATGGAAAATTTTCTTATTGTTTAGTGCCCATATTATCTAAGGAAAATATCTCAAGCAAACTAAGTTTTGGGGACATGTCAGTGGTTTCTGGTCCTGGGACAGTCTCAACTCCCGTAGATGATTTCGTTGCATTTTTGGACGCATTTAGTGTAGGAGACCAAATACTAAAACTTCCAAAATCCTCCATTGCAAATGCCATAATTGATTCTGGATCAACATTAACAAGGTTGCCAGCGGATGTTTATTTGAAGTTAGAATCGATCATGGCTTCTTCAATTAAGTTAAAGCGTGTTAACGATCCTACTGGATATTTAAGCCTTTGTTACAAAGGCACTATAGATATGTTGGATGCTCCCATAATCACTGCACATTTTAGAGGAGCAGATGTTCAATTGAAAGCTCTTAACACTTTTTATCAAGTTGATCATGAGGTTGTGTGCTTTGCATTTCTCACAAGTGGAAACTCTCCTTTGGTCATCTATGGGAATGTCGCTCAACAAAACTTTTTGGTTGGCTTTGACATAAAACAAAAAATTGCCTCCTTTAAGCCCACGGATTGTACCAACCATTGAAACCATACGTGCTTTCACAATGCTTGTTTTATTAATAAACTAAAAATAATACTAGTATAAGTTCTTGTGATCTATAACATTTTAATTTTCATTTCTTTTAAGGGATGATCAATTTGTTTTTGTTTGTTGCTTTGACATGCTTTGGTTGTGTTTGATCGATAGAATTGTTTAGATTTAGGGTTTATTCATTTTCTTTTGTGTTAGTTTTAATTACATAAATTACAACATTTAATTATAACGAGAATTTTATTATCAGCATAAAATATTAACTAGTGGTAATATTATTGGAGTTGATTGAAAATATACATGTTAAAGAAGTCTCACATTACTTATTTTTGTGAATGAAAAGGGAGTCCAAGGCTATATATACTATTCAAGTTTTTCTTTACAAGATGCAACAATCAAAAGCACTTTAAATTTGTATTTGACTTTTTCATTTCTCTTATGCTTTTGTATTTCAGTTTGTGAGATGTAGTTAAATATTTCTTTTGGAGGGTGTGGGTGTATTGGGGGCATGAGTTAATTGAGGGTATATTATATATTGTAACAATTTTCACATAATGTTATTCTCTGGTTGTCTATTGACAACGGCCGTGATTTTTCTCCGGTTTTGGAGTTTCCACGTTATATCCTTGTGTTATTCTCATAGAAAATTGATCCACATTAAAGTCTCACCATTTCAAAATTATTTATTAGTGTAATCTTTTTTACATGAGCTAATAATTGTGGTTAGTAATAGGTCTAAATATGACTATATCGATATAGTATAAAAGATTTTTCGAATTAACATAGATCAACTATAACTATTGCTATCTATTGTTTCTATATTTAACTAAAGTTATTTGATCGATTGATTTTATGGATGTCAATTTGTATATGTTAATGGGAAACCCTGCATACATTATCTCTTCGGAACAACACCGATGGATTTTCTGACTTCAATCTTATTATTTAACTTTCATATTTTATATATTATATAATTTTACATAAAAAATATTAATATATTAGAAAATGAAAAGTCATTAGTAAATCATTTTATTTTTATGTTTGATTGTATAATATTATTTCAATACGTAAGTAGTCAACCCTAGAGAAGTGCACTCAATACATAAGATATACACACTGTCTTCTCCTTTTCTTTTCTCAATTATTTTTGTCTCTTTCATTCATCATCTCCTCTAATCTCATCATCATGAGAACAATCACTCTTCTTTATTCATTTCGCTTATGGTAATTACTCATCAAATTAATTTTACTTCCATTAGTACATATTTTTTGTTCAACTAATAAATTAGTATTATAGATTTTCTACACCCACACATAATTAACCACTTGCGCGAGACGAAAGTCGCATTGTGGTTGTAAATCAGCGGAAGCATGGTAGCAACAAGTTATGTTAACATTTATCATTTTTTTACAGAAAAATATTAGCAACAACACATGATTTTGCTTTTTTTTTGTTATTGATGCAAGATGTATTTTTATTTTTAAAAAAAGAAAGAAGCAAAATATGTGTTTTAGAAAAAGGAAAATATAACAAAATATTAGTGTCATAGTTTTGATTTATAAGTATAGAATTTTTTTAAAGATTCGATCACCGTGGATCTCAGTGGGGATGAGGATGGAGGAAAATATTCTCTCGTGGTGGAGATTGAGAATGGGGATGGGGATGGGGAATAAAATTGGGGGTAGGGTGGGGAGTGGGGAAGCATCCTCCAAACATTCTCTGCCCCGTTGACATCCCCAGTTGGTTTTACCTGAAAACTGAAAAATAATGAATTTAAATCAATATTAAAATAAGAGACAGAAATAAGACTCGTATTTAGCAATTTTACTTACATAAATTGCAACATTTAATTATAACGAGAATTCTATTATCGGTATAATATATTTTTTTGACCAAAGCAAAATTAGTTCATTTCATTAAGCAAACATTATTCAATACAAGGAGGAATCACACGGAGGGTATTACGTCTAGGCCAAGAATTGGCCGCCTTCGCTAATGAATGGGCAGCTGAATTCGCTTGGAGTTTGATGAGCATTACCTCAAAGTTTGAAAAATATTGTAATAAGATATTTAGAGACATAACAATTAAACTAAACTCTGAGTTACCCCTATGATTGGAATGGAGCGCTTGAACCACCTTCTGGGAGTCACTTTCAAAAATAGCATCATGTAAATTCAAAGTTATAGATCCCTGGGTTGCTGTAGAGAGAGCCATGGCTTCCGCCTCAACGATATAGTGGCTGCCAACATCCCAAGCTACACGTGTAATAACAAATCTACCAAGATGGTCACAAACACATCAACCCCTATTAGTCTTATCGTGATACTTACTGAACCCATCATCAACATTACATTTAAACCACCCATAACTTGAAGCTTGCCAATTGGTCGAATGTTGTTGCAAGTTCACATTATTCTGACTTTGTGGAGCTACAAATCAATCTTGCCAATTACAACACTACGCCAAAACAAAGCTTAGGCAGCGTAGTTTAGACAACGCTTGTAAATCAAAGCGCTGCTATATGTCACGATATAATTTTAAATTATATATATTAGACAACGCTTTTGAAAAAAGTGCTGCCTAAAGTTAAGAAAAAGCGCTGCCTAAGTCTCACTTTAGCCAGCGCTTTATAAAAAGCGCTTCCTAAAGTCAATTAAAATTGAAATAAAAATAATAATTTCTAGAAGCTTTGTCTAAACTCAAAGCGCTGCTATAGGCCCAACAGTAGGAAACACTGTTATAGGCCCAAAGCGCTGCTAAAGGCTTATTTTAGAAAGCACTGCTATAGCCTAATAAGAAATTTGAGACAAAGCGCTGCTAAAAGGCCTACTTTAGAAAGCATTTTTAAGAAGTGATGCTTAAGGCCATAAGCGTTGCTATAAGGCATACATCAGAAAGCGCTTTTATTTAGAAAACACTGCAAAAGGTAATACATCAGGCAGTGCTTTATAAAAAATGTTGCCTAAGGTCATTAATGTCTTATTTCTAAATTAAAAAAACTAAAACCCTAAAACACGGTTTTCGTTCTCATAACAGGAAGAATCTCCAACGACGCCCTGCAACTGATTTTGAACAGCCTTTTCAACGCGATTCTCCAACTATTATCCAACAACGATTCTCCAACGACGCTCTGTTTTGTTTTCAACGTGATTCTATTTTCTTTTCTCTGCGATTCTGTTTTGTTTTGCTCGATTCTATAAGTTCTTCAATGCCATTTTGTTTTCTTCTCTGTGATTCTGCTTTTATATGTTTCAGTTTCAATCCCTATAAAAAGTTTGTTAAGGTTTGTGCTCATATTCATATAACATAGGAAAACTGCTTTTTATTCTCTTTTAATGGTCATATTATACATGTTGGAGTTAGTGTAAGAGAAAACATGAACAAATATTAGATAAACTAAAATCTGAATATGAACAAGCAAACTTCATGAAGGACAAGAAATGAAAATGGTAAGCATATAAGAATTTTCTTCAACTATTATTATCCTTTATCTTGTATGAACTTGTTTAATTATTTCATTTTGTTTATGAAAAATGTATATAAGTATAATAATGTGAAATTCATGCAGCAAGAAAGAAAGTTTGTTTTTCTAAGATATGAAGTTGACTATTTATTTTCTCTATTTTGGTTGTAATGTTAAATCTCATTAATTCTTTATTCGGATACATATTATTTGAATGATTTGGTATGGTTATATCATTTTCTTATATATATATATATATATATATATATATATATATATATATATATATATATATATATATATATATATATATATATATATATATATATATATATATATATATATATATATATATATATATATATATATATATATATATATATATATATATATATATATATATATATATATATATATATATATATATATATATATATATATATATATATATATATATATATATATATATATATATATATATATATATATATATATATAAAAAGTGATAAATAGTACTTAAGATTGTGACATCTCATGTTTTATCACTATATGATCGAATCTTAGATATATACATGCATTATTATAGTGAAAATGTTTATAGTGCCTACTAACAAATCTAATATTTAAAATTATAATTAAAAAGAGGTGATTGTGATATCATATTTAGTGTCTTTTATTTTCTCAAATGAAACAGGGAAATCCACATAGATATATCTTTGATTATTCAATTGTTCTATTTGTTTAACTTTGTTGAGATGAGGTCACGGGTCTTAGTTTTTTGAACAAGTTAGATCTCTTTCTCTCAACTTTATTCTTTGTGGTGTAACATTTGTTTGTCTTAGTTGTTATGGACAAGAATGATGAGTGAGGACTTCATAGTATAATTTTCTAGTCCCACACTGCTAATGAGAGAAATTAGATGACTTTGAAGTTATATATAAAAGGAAGTTTATTCTATGCTAAAGTTCTTCAACGCGGTTTTGTTTTTCTTTTGTTATTAGGCCAGAGATAAAGTTGTGAGTTGTGATATTCAATAGCTTGGCTTTTTAAAAGATCAACATCTCAGGTAATGAGTTTACAAAGGTAGATTCATTAATATAAAGATACACTTAAAACCCATTTTATTTTAAACATGTTTGAAATTGAAGTACTGAACCTAATTGTTTATGTGTAGTTGCTGCCTAATTTCATAGCCGCTTTCACAATCTTACGCTGTGTGGTTCCAGAAGTTACTGACTTCTCTACAGGTAATTAGTTGTTCTTTTGTTATAGGTACGTGATTAATTGTAGTGTTTTTGTTTAGGCTAATTAGTAGTAAAACCATGGATAAAAAATTGATATCTTCCAAAGATTGTCAAAAGAGTACGAGAGTGGGGGTATTAGAATTCGTTAAGTTTGTTGTTCAACATGCCAAAAACCCCAGTCTAATGAAATGTCCTTGCTTGGGTTGTTGTTATGGGGGTCGGGTTGATGCAGTTGGATTAGAATCACATTTACTGAGGAGTGGAATTGATCAAAGTTATACATGT